TTGTAAAACAAAAGTTCATAGTTTCGTGTACCGAACGTTCCATATTCAGGAGCTAGGTATCTAAATCTTCCCGCGATGAGACCTTCATCTACCAAGCTTCGTGTGGTTGATTCAAGATAAAACAGTTTTGCATTGTATTGCTGATGAAATCCAAACTTAGATATTAATTTCTAAGATCATAAACAAAAAGAGAGAAGAAGAATGTAAATAAAACCATTACCACCTCGTCAAGCATAATGTTATGCATTCGGAGTTCTCGATGTAGCGGGCTGTTCTTGATCGAGTGGAGAAACGCGAGACCTTGAGCTGTTCCAATGGCTATCTTAACACGTATTTCCCATGGCAATGCCTCTTCTTCTTCTTCTGTTGAGGGAAACATGAAACTATATGTAATGCAAAACTGTCTATACCGATTTTTAGAATGGACCCATTAACTAGAAGAGATCTTAACTTCCGAAAATGTGCGAGTCCAGACTTCCTCTGTGCGAGTATTCAAAAACCAAGAAGAGTGGTTTGTTGTCTTCAGAACAGTAACCCAAGAAATTGACCAAATTCTGATGAGACATCTGTCCAAGAGACCTCACTACTGCCTGTGCCCATCATATAAGCAGACAAGACATATTACAAGGAATAAGAGACAGGTATCGATATTGCGTAAAAATGGACAGACTTAGCTAAGCTTACCATCCAGTCTTGTAAAGAGCGTGAACTATCACATTCCATGACAGAAACAGCGACTCCCGTTCCATTTCTTGATGGTGCAAATGTGGTTTCATCTATGTAGCCTTTGTAAAATTTTCGAACAGAGCCATCCTCGCATTCTACGACCCTGTCTTGTCTGAATTTCTTCGTTGCTTTCTTCAAATCCGCGAATCTGAAGACTCTCAGGTTCTCGTTTCTAAAGACTCTCAGATTCTCGTTTTCTGGCTCCACTTTTCATAGACATTACATATAAATCGAACAACGCATTTATATTTTAGACAGTATCCGTAAACAAAAAGTAAAGTGCTTTAAAAAACAGAGATTTACCTGAAAATATTGGAGGGATAATCAGAGGCTTGGGAGCAAGTGAGGGAAGTTGTTGTTTGAGCTGCTTTAGAGAGTTTCCCATTGTTTATGAAGAAAAGAGGAAGATGCTTAGAAAGATATGTAGATTTTTGGCTTCAAGATTTTAACAAATCTTTATAGGGTTTTAGTAAGAGTTTGTAACTTATTAAAGAAGCTACCGAAGAAAAAAAAAGGTTTAGACTGGCCTCAGAATTCAACCCAATTGCTCACTCAGGCCAAACAAGGAAAAAGGCGTAGAAGGCAAGTTTGGGTATGTCTGTATCCATATAAGGCAAGTTTGTGGAAATATTTCTAAGACTCATTTATAGAAAGAAAGAAAAGAGTTGATGAGACATAGAGGGAGAGATTTTATCTTTCAAACTTTTATTCCAAACTTGTTCAACTTCAAATCTCATTACCTCTTATACACATTAATCTTTAATCTCTGCAATATCATTCAAACCATCAAAGACTTGTTGCATCGATGGTCGTTTTCTCGTGTCCAACTTGATGCATCTTTTGATGAGTTTTCCCATCTGTGTCGCTGCATTCACAGGATAATCGTTGCCAAGTCGGGGATCGATGATTTCCCGGATTTTACATTGATCAGACAAGAAAGGTTTAGTCCAGACATGTAAGCTTTGCATGTTCTCATTCTTTTTACCATCTGAAGCTTTCAAACCAGTTAAAATCTCAAACAAAATCACACCAAATGTATACACATCACTCTTCGTTCCCAAATGACCTACGTACATTACACAATTGTCTTAAACATCGAACCACTAAAGAATACTTAATTAATAGTGTTTGTTAACAAAACTTAAGATACCTGAGATTGCATATTCAGGAGCTAAATATACAGTTCTTCCTATGAATGCAGTCGTCACACTTTCTTCTAACAAACATAGTTTCTTTGATCCAAGATAGAACAACTTTGTGTTGTAGTTCTGATGAAATCCAAAAGTTCATGTTTCATTATTATTGTAAGATTATAAACAATAAGAACAGCAAGAAGAGTGGTCTAAAGTCATTACCTCGTCAAGCAAAATGTTATACATTCTGAGTTCACGATAAAGCGCGCTGTTCTTGACAGAATGTAGAAATGCAATACTTTGAGCTGCTCCTATGGCTATCTTGACCCGTGTTTCCCACGGCAATGCTTCTTCTTCTTCTGTTGAGAAAACATGAAACTGTATGTAAAGGAAAATTGAGTATACTGATTTTTAGAAATGGACCCATTGATTAGAAGAGGTCTTAACTTCCGAAAATGTGACGGTCCAAACTTCCTTTATGCAAGTATTCGAAAACTAAGAATGATTTGTTATCTTCACAACAATAGCCTAAAAGTTTGACTAAATTGGGATGAGAAATACGTCCAAGAGACTTCACTTCCTCCTGCAACACAATAGTTTTTGTGTCCATCAGATGCATAAGTACATATCTATATTAAGAAGACAAACTTTAAAAAAAATAATGGACAGATTTTGGTTACCTTCCAATCTTGTAGAGTCTGCGAATTATCCTGATAACATTCCAAGACAGATACAGCGATTCCAGTTCTTGATGGAGCAAAGGTTGTCTCATTGATGTAGCCTTGGTAAAATGTTAGAATACATCCGTTATCATCCGTTATCATCCGAAATTGTCTGAATTTCTTTGTTGCCTTGCTCAATTTCGCAAAGCTGAACTCTCTCAAATACTCATTTTCTAACTCCCCTTTTTTATACATAACATACGTAATTAAATTTTGTATGTAAACAAAAGTAAAGTGCATTTGAAAACAGAGATGTACCTGAAATTGGAGGATTGATGAGAGGCTTGGGAGAAGCTGAAGAAGGTTTGAGAGGCTTTAGACAGTTTCCCATTGTTGATGAAGATGTTAACTCTGTAGGATTTTGATTTCAAGATTTTAACAGATCTTGTAGGGTTTATTTTATGAGGTTGAAAATGATTTAAGTGTGAAAGAACCTTCAAAAAAGGTTGGACTGTCTCTGAATTCAACCCTTTAAAAAGTCATGTTCACATTCAAAGCCAAAAGAATCCACAGTATAAATGCATATAAAGCCAAATTTAGTAAACAGTTCTAGAATAAACAGGAATTGAAAAATTAGATCTCGTTCTCTGTTCGAAACAAAAGAGATCATGCAGTGAATATAAAACAGTGAATATAAAAAAGGTAAAACATAATTAAATTTAACTTAGATTAGAGTCATGCAGACTAAACAGCCTGAGTTTGGGAAATAGAATAATAACTAGTGTCTCAAACAACAACGAAAGAGATGGCTCATAAGTCAAAAGCCAGGTTGGTTCAAGTAGTAAGGACCATGTTGGTTCACGTAGTAAGAACCATGTTGTGTCCAATAACAACAAGGTGTGTAGGGATCATATTGCGGTGCAAACTGAAACTGGTTCCAGTTGGGTACATAGACTTCTACTTGTTGGGCGTTTTGGTTATTGTTAACCCTAGCACCAATATAAGCAAGGTTACACTTGGCCTCTCGTCCGTCTATGACCGGTTTTGGATTCTGGCAAGCTCTAGTTGCAGATTCAGCATCTCTAAACGTGACAAAACCATAACCCTCTGATCGTCCTGTTTCTCTATCACAAACCACGTTAACATGGATAATTTCTCCGAATTGTTGGAAGTAGCTTCTCAAACCTTCGTTTCTTGTTTTCCAAGGCAAACCTCCCACGTATATCTTGGTGTATCTCGTATCGACGTTTTGGTTCGCGTAATGTTGAGCCATGTCTCTCTGTCACAAAGATATGTGTACAGTGTATGTATCCTATTAGAAAAAGATGAAGATAATAAGTAAGAGAGAATACATATGTTTTTTATGCATGAGAAACAATTTCATTACCATATATGTGAAGTGAGAAACAAAATCACAAGATAAACAAAGAAATAAGAAAGATGAACTTACCATAAGAACAAAACTTCAAGTAAAAAGGAAAATCAATCAAAGAGAAAATTTACCCTTATCTCTGATATATATGTCAGGGTTTAGTGATTTATATAGAAAAGAATTAAAGTCCACGTTTTCTTTTATAGGTTACTTGCGATGGTTTGGTTGATGAAAAACTTTTATGGGTTCAAAATTAAGTCCAAGCCCAAGCCCAACCCTTGTTATTCCACTCCAACTGCTATAAAACGATTCTTCTCTTTTGTATGTCAGTTTTGATTTTTCTGCACACAATTAATCTTTCACGTTATATTGAAAGTAGCTATAGGAAACATTAACTCAAGTATGATTTAGGAAGCCAGCTAATTAAGTACTCCTTAAGCTTACATCATTTAAACACAAAAGATGCCCACACAACCCGAGAACTATATATTATAATGGCTTTTAATTATAATGATTTTGCAATTTATGAGATCAATGTGGAGAAGTGTATCTAGAAAAGGATAGGCATGGAGTGAAAGAGTGAAGGCATTCCCATGTGAGTCACATTCACACGAGGGGGTCCTAAAAATATTGATGAGCTTATCCTCCTTGCCTTCTATTAATGCTTTTTAAGTTCCCAGCTAATATTGTTAGTAGTTTGATAGTGATACCACATGTAATTTTTCTTTTTTGGAATATATGAGAGTTTTTTTTAAAGATATACCACAAAATCTATCAACTCGTCTATAATAATAAATAGATCTATAGTTTTTTTTTTTTTATGGTTATAAATTGATTAATATTTAGCAGTAAAACAGTTAAATATAAAAAAATTGTTTAGTTAAAAAGATTTTGTGGTGATACTAGGAAAATTTGAACTTAGCCAATATGACCGAATAATATCTTTCTTCTTTTTCTTTTTCTTTTTTTCTTAAGAAACTAGTAGCTCATTAAATAAAGGGAAATAATACTCATTAGTCATATGATTACTTTCTCTGATTTTTATGTTTTTTTAATCTTGGATTTGTTAAGAGACTGTAGAGGCTCGTTGTGTGTTGGCACGTGGTTCAAAAAATTGGATATGACGAGCGTGGTTTTGGATTTTCATAGGAAGGCCATTGGCCACATGACATGAGAGCCGTTTAAGCCGCCGTTAAATATGGATGGAAGACATCCGTCAGTGCCTGAGAAGTTGACGTCAATTGACAGAGTCAAGTGGGACGTTAGCCGCAACCGGAAATAAGCAGAAGACTCTCCACAGTCACATGCCCACACTAGCTCTTAACCTTCTTAATGGATTAATGCACTCTTGCATCTTCATATCATAAAAATACGATACATGATATTTATCTACAAGAATTTGTCATTGAATGATATAATATATGATCCATAAATTGTGTCTGCTTTGTTATGAGTGGTGAAGTCGGGACATGGGGCCGTGAGAGGGTAAAAGAAGTGTTGTATGTAATAAGAGAGAAGGGTGAGGAGAGACAGTGGCACGACGGTGGCTTTAGCGCTCTGTTTCTCTTATTTCTGCCGTCTCCTTTTCAAAAAGGTCCCACCCACGTTCCTCTTCTATCTCATTTACCCTTCTTGTCTCTATACTCATTGCTCATCAGATTATTTTATATACATTCAGAAAAATTGGGCAAATGTAGTTTATCCTTTTTGCGATCATAATAATTGAGTAGGTTTACCAAAATTTTGTATGTTTATATTAACTCATAACTCACAAGTTTACCTATGCTCGGCTTCGTTGCGTGAATAATGAATGAAAGAAATATATTTAACTTTTGAAAAAAATTTAGTTACCACGATTAATCTAATGCAATTCAAAGCCCTCTAAGATTCAATTATTCCACGATTCTAAATCATAACAAGGCTAATTTTTTAAACATATAAAATATTATATTGATTAATTATAATTGAAATAACAAAATTTCTGATATGTATGATCTATTTTAAGCATATATTAGGGAGTATGCCGACAAAGAAAAAAAAAACATATATTGTAATGTAGACTGTAGAGTATATTATTTTAAGCCGACAAAGAAAAACATATATTATTTTAATTATACTGTTTTAAGTTTAACTCAAGCTAAAAGACGAAATAGGTTATTATTGGAAAACGCATTGTAAGAAAATATGAGAACAAGACGCAATGCTAAGGCCACGTCCAGAATTTAGCCGAACAATGGTATAGGCGGTATAGCTGACTGACCAGTCAGGCACCACAACTGAATTTAAGAAAGAAAAAAAAAAAGTAAGTTAAAAGATAAAGAAAACAAAAAGCTTGAACAAAGACAATAACTCTCAAATGTTGTCAAATAAAAGAAATCGAATTATTGACATGCAAATCTAAAAAAGTGAGATCCAACAGCTTCTTATAACTTTAGTGACAAAGAAAGCTCACACGATCCTCCTCGTAGCAACTCCACCGCATATCCATTGTATCTCGACCAAATGACTAAATCACCAAACTACCCTTTTCACTCATTGCATTCTACTCAAAAAATGTTCTCAAGACTAATTCGAAGTAATGATTTATGGTTAATAGTTGAATTTTATCTTAATAATTAGCAGATCAAATAGTATATAGTGTGGGTATAAAGACAGATAATGGGGATATGAGATCAAATGTCTCCATGAGTTGGCATTTGTGTTGAAACATTGACCATACATGTGGATATGATCATTGATCAACACAATCTTTTGTTAATACTCTTTTAATTAACACAAATAACATGCAAAAGTTGTCTAATGTTTTATTTTGTCCACGACCATGCAAGAAAAATAAAAAAATAGCAGTAAAATGATGAATTTCAAAAAAACCAAAGGAAATACGTATATTGGCAGTTTGGCGTTAACTTTATAGTCTTCAATATCCAAACATGAACAGGCTAAATGATAATGTGTGAATAGTAACAATCGTCGAATTTAATTGTCATTAATATGTTTACTATTAAAACCATATTATAAACGTAATTTGGTATGTCTAAAAGGTGTTTTGTACTGGCCTTAAACTTTTTTTTGGTTTAAGGATGATAATACTCTGACGGCAGACAAAATCATTGAGAAAAGAAAGGAGTTTCCAGGAATCACCCTCTCTGATCTCTTCTGTAATCTCTCAGCTAAACCCCAAAAGAATGAGTCATGGCCCCACGTGGATACGTGAATCCACATCAGTGGCATAAATCCGTAAATTGTAGTAAAATCTAGAGGTATTTTCGTAGTTGGAATTCCATATAATCTATTGCTGGTTCCTCTCCCAATTTCCCATAATTTACTAAAATCTGTCTCTAGTCTCTTCTCTTTGCTTTGGTCGTCTCACAATGAAAGGAGGCAGCCTCACGTTTCTCCTCGTTCTCCTAATCGCCACCATCACTTCCGTCCTCTGCTTCAGCGACGGTAATAATCACTTGCACATAAACATAGACATACCTTTATCATGTTTCAGTATATATGACTGCATTTTTAGTGACATATTTCGTTAGAAGCTAAATTCTGTTTGAGGGAATCAAAGCTCACTTCTATTTATTTTATATCCAAAATCTCTAACGAGACATTTTAACAAAAACCACTAACAAAAAAGGTTTGGTTGTGACTTGTAATTAACACAAATAAGTAGTCTAGTGGTCTTAGAGTAATGTTTTGCACCCTAGTTTGAACCTTATTTGGAAAAGATGTTTGAAGCTTTTAGTAGAGGATAGTTTACAAGTTGATCCCGAATTGAGGAAGAAGATAACAAACCTAGAACTTCGCTCGATAACCAAAAAAAAAACAAATTGGTCGGGACCATTGTGTTCGCTAATATTATTGTTTTTTTTCCAATTATTATTGATTGATTTTGTAAGTCGGTCAAGAGTCTAATTTACCTTTATGCCCATTTCTGACACAAACATTACACTCTGGACATTTTCAATCAATGACATAAAAATGGTCCAATTACGAAATTCTCTTATAAGACACATCCAAGTTTTTGTTTCTTTTGGATATAAACCATTTCCTCATTTTTTATTCGGATCCATGTTGTTGTGGTTTTGTTAAAACCCTGAGGAAAATACTATATATAGATAATACTTTATATATGAATATATACGATGCACATATCGTACATTAAACTTGTACATTATATGAGCTTTGAATCAAAATTATGGTCTTAATTGTATTGATGGCGACTTTTCTAATTCCAACGCAGGGATGTTACCGAACGGTGACTTTGAGCTAGGACCAAAACCATCGGACATGAAAGGAACTCAAGTAATAAACAAGAAAGCAATTCGCAGCTGGGAGCTCTCAGGCTTCGTCGAATACATAAAGTCCGGTCAAAAACAAGGAGACATGCTTCTAGTAGTCCCGGCCGGAAAATTCGCAATCCGGCTAGGCAACGAGGCATCGATCAAACAAAGACTTAATGTTACAAAAGGAATGTATTACTCACTCACATTCAGTGCCGCAAGGACATGTGCCCAAGACGAACGGCTCAACATATCGGTAGCACCTGACTCAGGTGTTATTCCTATACAGACGGTGTACAGTAGCAGTGGATGGGATCTCTACGCTTGGGCGTTTCAAGCCGAGAGTAACGTGGCAGAGATCGTGATTCATAATCCTGGTGAGGAGGAAGATCCTGCTTGTGGACCACTTATTGATGGTGTCGCAATCAAAGCTCTATACCCTCCTCGACCCACCAATAGTAAGTATTCATTTATTATATGAATTGAGTTTGTATCTAGCTATTATTATTCTAAGAAAATCTTTTTTCATATACCATGCAAATGTGATCTGTCATGTTACAACTATATCTACTTGTTAACTCGTTATTGTTAGGCCTTAGGGGTTGACATTTGACAGTCAGGTTTGGTTTGTCAAAATTTCAGTTTGGTGTAGTTCAGTTTTGATAAAAGAGTTGCAAATTAATCATTTTAAGTCATAAATCTATTTTTAAGATATGTACTAACTTCACAACTTGTAAATAAACTTTTTGGTTTGGCTTATGTGACAAAGTATTTCTGTTTCGATAATATTTTTGAAGATTTTGGCATGGTTGGATTCGATTTATATGTCCACTTAGAATTATAGTCATTTTGGTTAGAACATATTTCAATGGATCGGTTACATGAACATGTGTTAGGCAAGATTTAGAACAATAAATTAATTGATATGGTTTTGCTATTATATAAAACAGAGAATATATTGAAAAACGGAGGATTTGAAGAAGGTCCCTATGTACTCCCAAACGCAACAACCGGCGTTCTGGTTCCTCCCTTTATAGAAGATGACCACTCTCCTTTACCAGCTTGGATGATCGAATCACTCAAAGCCATCAAATACGTTGATGTCGAACACTTCTCAGTCCCACAAGGCCGCCGAGCCGTGGAGCTGGTCGCAGGCAAAGAAAGCGCAATCGCTCAGGTGGCTCGGACCGTTGTGGGAAAGACTTACGTGCTTTCGTTTGCGGTTGGAGATGCTAACAACGCTTGCCAAGGATCGATGATAGTTGAGGCCTTTGCGGGAAAAGACACTTTAAAGGTACCTTATGAGTCGCGTGGGAAAGGAGGGTTCAAACGCGCTTCTCTGCGGTTTGTGGCGGTTTCGACCCGCACAAGGGTTATGTTTTACAGCACGTTTTACTCGATGAGAAGCGATGATTTCTCGTCGCTGTGTGGGCCCGTGATTGATGATGTTAAGCTACTCAGTGCTCGTAAGCCGTAAGATGACCATTGTTTTAATTTGAAAGTTGTTCGTATAAGCCAGTGTGTGGTTTTTTTACTATATATGATTTTCTTAATCTCTAATGCTTTTGAAATGAGATGAGTAATACTGAAAGGGTGTTGTGGTGTAGGGTTTTTATATAAGGCAAAAAGGTCTTGCTTATATCTATTTTCTTGTATGAGAAGGCTGAAGGAATGTTGTCTTTTTAACTATCTTTGGTTCTTCTTCTAAAGAGATCGGGTGATTATGAGAATAAAAGTGTAATACATATTATAGAGAGGAATGAGGATATGAATTTGCTTTTTAAATTTAGGTTCGATCGGGTTGTTGTTAGTTTATTGTGTACTACCAATTCGTGTTAGGATCAAGTTTTTTTGAATCACACACTTTGAAATTGAACTGCCTTGAAATCCATGTTAGTAGTCGAAGCAATGGCCCAAATTTTATAAGTAAAGTTAAGATTGAAACAATAAAACCTACA